GTATAATTCCTCTGTGTATTCTTGCCACCTCTTATCGATGTCTTCTGCTTCTGTTAGGTCCCTCCCATTTTTGTCCTTTATCATGTTCATCTTTGCACAAAATGTTCCTTTAATAGCTCCAATTTTCCTGAACCGATCTCTGTTTTTTCCCCTATTAGTTTGCTCTATATCTTTGCACTGTTCATTTAAGCAGGCACTTTTGTTTCTCCTTGCTATTCTTTGGAAATCTGCATTCCATTTTCTGTAACTTTTCCTGTCTCCCTTGCATTTGGTTTCCCTTCTCTTTTCTGCTATTTGTAAGGCCTCGTTGGATAGCCACTTTGCTTTCTTGCATTTCCTTTTCTTTGGGATGGTTATTGTTGCTGCCTCCTGTACAATGTTACGAGCCTCTATCCAAAGTTCTTCAGAGACTCTGTCCACCAAATCGAGTTCCTTAAATCTGTTCTTCACTTCCACTGTGTGTTCATAAGGGATTTGGTTTAGATTATACCTGAGTAGCCCAGTGGTTTTTCCTACTTTCTTCAGTTTAAGCTTGAATTTTGCTATGAGAAGCTGATGATCAGAGCCACAATCAGCTCCAGGTCTTGTTTTTGCTGACTGTATTGAGCTTCTCCATCTTTGGTTGCAGAGCCCCTTTACTGCAGTAATAAATAATGGGTCAGCAATGGTAGATGAATAAGCCTTTTGTCCCTATTTCATTTCATAGCTGTTCTTGGCACAGTTTGCCTATCAAGTGCATTTAATCAGAGCTCAGTCTTTGCAGCCATTGAGTCTTCTGCTTGCCTCTTTTCTCACTAGAGCCCTTTTTATTTTCTGAAAAGGCTCTTGAGTCCATGAATGGCTATCAGATCAGCAGCATCCCACTCCATGACATAAGCTGCAAAACCTGAAGTCCTGTGGCAGGTTTTTCTAATGTTGGAGGAAGGGGAATTCAGTGCTGCAGAACTCCTTGTTTCTGTCTTCCAAGCGTTGCTAGTATTTTATTTTATAATATTTTAGACACACCTTTCAACAGACAGTCACTTTAAGCCAGTCACAGCCACCTTTCCAGGGTTTTTTAGAGCGAGTTCTCAGAAGTGGCTTACCATTTCATTCTTTTGGGGATGACCTGGGACTATGCAGCTCTCCTGAGGCCACACAGATGGCTTTACTCTCAGGAGGTACAGTGAAGGATCGAACTGCCAGTCTCTGGCTTCACAGCCTACCTAACCCACCAAGCTATTCATCTAATCTTTGTGTTTGTTACATGCCTTCAACTGACACTCAATATATGGCAACCCTGAAAGGATTTTCAAAGTATGTGGGATATTTGAAGAGTAGTTTACTATTGCCACCAACCACTGAGTGTCCATGGTTGAGCGGGAATTTGAAGTTTCCCCAATTCTCGCCTGACGTTATCCAGTACACCTTATTGGCTATCAAATTGTACCTTAAGCTCCAGGAGAAAAAATAATAATCATGAAATAAGATTAAAAATAAAGTTAGGTAAACATTATTGACTTACAATATTTCATAAGCAATTCAGAAAAAGCCTCCAAATGAAATCTTTTTCAGTCTGCTGTAATGCACAACAGCACAATAGTCTAATCATCTGTACTAATGAAACTGATGTGTCACTGTCTCTTGTCTTCTGCGGAAGCCAAGCTAAACTGAAAGGCTCAAGGAGCTATGAACATTTAAAATCCTGAGAGACAAAAATGAGTTGGGGCTTGAAACCACACACCATGATGCAATAAGAAAAATCTGGTTCCACAGTAAATTGAGCATATATCAGAAATGCAAAAAGCCAGACCAGTTACAGAAATAATGAGGATACACAACAAGATCATGCTTCCAAAATAGGGATGGGGAATGGAGTCTACACTAAAATACTTCCTCAGAGATTTATTTTCAACTTCCAGCAACAATTGATAATTCATAGAAAACAAAAGCAGCAGAGCATCTGATCTTGTGAATACAGAAATAACACAGTACAAAAATCCAGCTTTGTTAGGCTTCTGTATTCTCAAGCAAGAAGAACTGGATTACTAAGTAATCCTCAACAGCAACTTCTGAGACCATCCACAATATACATTTTTGCATATCCAGAAAATCTATAACCAAGAAAGATTGCAAGGTATTCCTTCCAACTCCAGAGTTCTAAGATGATGGTTTGAATGGATTGATTTGAGGTAAAACTGATTTCCCCCACCACAATTGGCTAAGTTTCCACTGACAAGCAAAGACCCTATCATTAATATAGGCTTTTTCTAACTCACCAGTTGTTTTAGCAACAGTCTTTTCACATATGTTTGCTTTATTTTGAGTTTGAACATATTGGTAGAGTTTAAATTATTATTTTAATCCTTTTATTTCGTAATACAGTATGTGTGTGTTTGTGTTTTAACTATATTTTGCTCATCTTTGTTGTAAGCCATTTTGAAGAGACAGGTGGGCTGTAAATTCAGTGAATTAATGCATAGAGCAGCTGGAAATCAGAATAGAAAGATTTCAGTGTTTAATCACAGGGCCAAATTAGACTAATAAACACCAGCTTTCATGGTTCTGCTGAGAGGATTAGTTTTTAGCTTCTACTTCTCTGATTCCAGAAGTACCAGACTTATGGAAATAGAATCTGTGGAAACTGAATGTTAAATTGTATGGACTTCAGGCTTACCTCGCAAAGCTGTATGTGTGAAACAACTTGAATTTGTATATTGCAAGCAAGAGCATCCACAGGATTTTTTCCTAGCTGGGGTTGAGAGAAGCTGTGTAATGGTATGCTATCATAGTTCATTTGCACAGCATACACCAATATAACACAGAATGCCCATCTGTGTACTTTAAAATGAGAAATCTTTTTATCTATTTAAAATTCAGGATGGGGAGAAGTGTCCATTTTTGCTGGCATTGCCTATTACAGAACTTCATAGAGACTGAACCTCTCATTACTCTCAACTTACAGACAGCTTGACTTTTCGAGTTACCGACTTCTCTGGCCGCAAAATTTAGGTTCGACTTGCAGCCGGAGAATCAACCTACAGACCAGAAAAAAAACAAAACGGAACAAAAATGGCTGGTTACGGATTAATTGGTTTTCAATGCACTGTAGGTCAATGGAGCCTTGACCTACCGACTTTTCGACCTGCAGTCACCGTCCAATACGCATTAATTCTGTAAGTAGAGGGTCCACTGTAAAGAGTACACATCTGGACTGCAGGGTGTGATAAGATCAAAACTGAAAGTTTCTTTCATGCCTGGGCTGCTTTCCGAGGCTTCACCTGGTGTCTTATTAACAACATGAATGTACTTAGTTGGATTTTATTTAGAAACTTCAGTTCTTAGTACAAGGGAATGGAAATAAGGTGAAATACATGTAGAGCTCTCCAGCTTCTTTGATGTGGGAGGTATTGCATCTCTTTTGGCTTCCTCAGAACAGAGGTAAGAAATGCACATAAGAAAACAAAGGGATGATTCCAGGATTTTGACATACCAGTAGTTGTCATTAAGCAGCAGTGCTTCTGTGCAGAAATAAATTGTAGCGAAGGGAAGGTTATGCTTACACTTCCAGGACTAATTTAAGATTTTATTTCTTATGAAAAAGGTAGCATAATATTTTTTGAATTTTAAACATTCTTCCCTTGTGTTTTGTTGATGTGAGAGTTCTGACCTATAACTGCCCTGCAGTGTTTTTATCTTGTTAAATGTTCCATGTTCGGATTACCAGTTCAAATAATTTCTTATGAAATAGATTGCACAAAACTTAATGCACCGTTAAATCAACTCCCAGCAAACTATACTGTATAATCAAACTATTATATGCAGAATAATAATACACCATGGGGGTGCATAGCTTATATGAGGACGTGTAGTGCTTTAAAGTGTTTTTAAAAAATGAAAAGGGCTTTTTAACAGAATAAGGTAAGAGCATTAACTCATTTTGCTGCCTTTTACTTCTATGTGATACGGTTTTCTATGTGCTTTTTTCGCTTTCATCCTAAGGAGCAATTAAAAGGTCTAAAGAAATGCAGAAATTTTTCAGTCCCTGGAACCGGAGTTTTTAAGTCTATGGTCCTTCATTTTTGCCCACCCCGTTCATTATGTCCAATGGGAAAGTGCGGTGTTTGAAGATTGTACCCAATGGCGAATAGTTTCACTGTCGGGATCGGTTTCCAAGGGAGAAAGGGGGGGGTGTTGCTAGACTTGAGAGGAGCGGCAGCTTCCCCCCCCCTCAAGGTTTCTGTAGTAATGGCAGGATGGCAGGCGGGAGCGGGCTTACTTGTCCCAGCCTGGGAAGCAGGTAAGGAATGGAGGGAAGGCCTTACTTGGCGGCAGGAGGCCAGACTGCTGGCGACCCTTCCTTTCCTTGCGTGGCCGCGCAGTTGCAAAGGTGGGCGGGAGGGTTGACGGTGAGGTGGCGACGGTGACTCTCTTGTGGGGGGAGAGCGAGAGAGGCTCCTGTGCCCAAGGCGCCCGCTTAACGACGCCACTTTTCCCTTCAAGGGAGAGCAGCCTCTTGGCGAGGAGAACCCCTTTAAGTGTTTCACTAGGCATCTTCCCATCCTCCCCCCCCCCGGCTCACCCCGCAGCAAAAGCTGGAAAAAGAGCCGGGAGGTGGGCGCCCTAGCCGGGGAAGCTTCGTGGAATTCCCGTCCCCGCCGAGCCTGTCTGTGGGATTTTGGGGGGGCAGGGCAGGCCAGCGTGCGCGCCCTCCCAGGAGAGCAGTGGCTACGAGTCTTCTCCCCTGCTCTCCCTTTGAGGGAAGCTCCTCGTCAGGCAGGAGTGGGTCTGCAAAGCCTGTAGAAGAAGAAGAAGAAGAAGAAGCAGAGTCTGAGTCGCAGCGGCTGCCCGTGATTTGGCCTCCCTTTGGGTTTGTCATAGCATAGAGGGTTTGTCAGTCGAGGAATATCCTCCTGAGCCTGCCTTATGCTTGGCTGGATATTCTTTTGGAATGATCTGGTAGTGGGGATTGGGCACAATTATCTCAGCCTCCCACATCACCCAATAAGTAAGGGTGTGTGTGACTCTTTTCTGTCCCTCCCCCCACCCCACCCCCATTGTTCACTGCCACTGAATAGTTATGTGCAATTTACCTGTTGTGTCATGTAAAGAGATAAGATGCCCAGTAGTGTATTCCAGAGGAAGATAGCAGGGCAGCATTCAGAGTGGCAGCCATCGCTTGCCCCATTCTTTATGATCAGTTTTGTGGAGGCAATGGCTCTTGGAAGAAGCAGTTGATGCTTGTCCTCCCTCCCTGGGAGCTCTGAGCAGAGTATCAAAATGTGCAGGCAGTCATGGTTCTTTTCTCCTGCCAGTCCTGTCAGGGCAGGCCAGTAGGGTAGACTGCACCTGTAATTCAGCATATATGATTGGTCATGGCTGTTTTAACACACACACACACACACACACACACCCCGATTCTCCATCTGGTCAGCATAGTGGTGGAGATTCTGCTAATGAAAAGAGAGAGGGAGAGGGAGAGAGAGAAGAGGAGTAAGAAACAGCAGCGACATTTTCTTAAAACAGCAGCTGCTACCTTCACACTATCAAGTGGTGGTTGCTACTGTGCAAGATTACTCACTTGCCCTCTTTGGTCCATTATCTTCTCCTCAGATAACATCAGTGCTGTATGTAACACCCTCTTTGGTCCATTATCTTCTCAGTGAAGGCAGCAGGAAGGATTTGTCTCATTGAGGCCATCTGGAGGTAAGGAGTGAGCAAAAAGAGTTGGTCAATCTGCTTGCTTACCTTCCTGTTGCTAAGTGTCATGGAGGAGAGGAAGGAGAGAACCAGATCTTGCCTCTTAAACCCTCTTCACTGGATGATGCAGAGAGTTGGGCTGTTTGGGCCCAACATCCAACACAATACTTAGAGGAAAAGTGTAGGATGAGGCAACCACTTAAACTCCTTCTGTGTTTAATCCTCTATGCTGCATTGCCCAGAAAAAGAAGGTAAGTAGGCAGCGTTGTAGACACAGCCTTCCCTGCAACACTGCCTAGAGAAGGGGAGTAATAAGAGAGGAGCATCCATTGCTTTCTCTTGCTTGAATACCTCTGTGCCTATCCTCAGAAGTAATAAAGCTGAGAGAGGTAATTTGGAAGTCTGGCAGTTTTCTGGCAGGAAGCAATTCACTTCTAATGATTTCTAGCCTCTGTAAAGGCAGAAGAGAGAAGACTCTACTGTTAGATTGTTTATGGTTTTATTAGATTAACTATTTGACTCTGTATTTTATTGTGAACTGCCCATAGTAGTGGTGTGGCACTAATGAGAGCAGTATATTAAATTTAAAAAAAACAAAAAACATTGTTTCTTTTAATCTAATCATCGCTTTACTTTCAGAATAAAAGTGTTTCTGTTAAGGATGCTTTTCAGATTCATAATTTCATGTTCAATTAAGCCCTGCAGGATTTGTCTAGTTAGTACTTACTAACTTGGAGGAAAGTTAGTTGGAAAGATTCAGTTTATCTATCAGTATTATTAGTTCTGAACAAACCAAAGATTGGTTGCAGGGCTTGAGCCATGGAATGTCCATCCCAGCCCCTGACTTCTGACATAGATTTTTGATTGGATTCAGTTTTTATGTTGATGTTATTGTGAGGGTTTGTTATTACGCTCCACTTTTTGCTCAAAGAAGACAGGAGTCATTTTTGAACCAAAATCCAAACTGGTGTTTATTTCTTTAGTCATCAGTAAAATTTCTTTTAATGAATCATTCCATGACTTCTCTTGTGAGACCAACGGGGCTCGCAAGGGCAACCAAAGTTCTGAATCAAAAGGGTTCAGTGATTTAACATCCCAGGGTCCAGAAACAAACGGTTCATAACTGGGAACACCAGCTTCTGTTCCTTCGCCTCTCAGTAATGGTAAGGGTTTCACCATCCCCGTCCTCTCCCCATACTAGGTCTCTCTCCCCCATGAGCTGTCCCCATGGTCCTGGAGGTACATCATCCTCCGCGCCTCTTCTGCACGCAATGCCCAACGTTCCTCGGCTTCCAGGGCCACTGCTTCTTTCTCTTCTCTCGTCTCCTCCACTCTCTAACCTCGGACTCACCCCAGTAAGACGTGCGCTGGGGAAGTCCCCTCCTATGGCGATAGTCTGCCTCCTCTCTGGGTACCATTATCCTTTCCCATTTCCCAGTCCATGGGTCTGTTTCCCAGTCCAGTTCCCAGCCACCCGGTATGTTGTCGTGGTCCCTATTTATAATCCCCATCCCTGCCTCCGCCATGGAACTCCTTTCCCACCAAATCTTTCTTCGTTTGAGTTGCCACCGTCAGACCCCGCAGACTTGTTTCCAGCTCCCAGGTGTCTGTCCCCTGGTGTATCTTTCTGGGAGGCGTTGGCGGTGGAGTGGTCTGTACCTCTCTGGAGGTCTTACTGGTGGACGGCACTCCGACGAGAGCTTCTATGCTCTCATCCCGCTTATCACAGTTATACTGTACTTGATTGTTTTATCCTGTTTTAATTTTTGTTAATGAAGTTACATGTTGCCTAGAGTTACATGTTCATAGGCAACTAATAAGTGTAAATAGCATGCGGTGTATGTCTTATGCACCAATTTATAGTGATCCTAATACGTTTTTGAGGTATGTGATATAAAGAGTGATTTTACCTCCTGATGAGTTTCCAGGGCCAAGTGAGATGTGAACCCAGGTTTTCTTAGTCCTAGTCCATAATTGTATCCACCACACCACGCTAGCTCTCAGAAGAGCTAATTTATATTAAACCTTATATTACAAAAGCCATGTTGTTACGTGCCATCAAATTCCTTCCAGTTTATGGCACATAACAGGAATGATGAATTAGTGACTCAGAAAGCCCTGTTGTCCACAGTCCTTCTCAGCTCTTGTAAACTGAGGCCTGTGGCTTCCTTTATTGAGTCAATCCATACCATTATTAGGTTTTCCTCTTTTCCTGTTTCCTTTACATTCCCTGGTATTATTATCTTTTCCAGTGATATTGTCTTCTCATGACATGCCTGAGTACAAATCATTTTTTGCCTCTAGGGAGAGAGAGTTCAGGCTTGGTTTGATCTAGCCACTTGTGTGTTTAAGAAGCTTGGTTTGATGTACCCACTTGTGTGTTTAAGAAGCTCCCCTCCAGTGCCAAATTACAGATGAATCATTTTTTCCCTGCCAGCTTTCTTCACTGTCCAGCTTTCACATCTGAACAAAGTAATTTTGTTACTGGGAATCTTTAAAACCCAATTAAAAACATGGTTGTACATCCAGGCCTCCCCTCCAGTCAATACCTGATTTCTTTTCTATTCCTTCTTATTTTATTCTCACTCTATTTTATTATAACTGTATCAAATGATTATGTAATGTTCTTGTGTTTTATTGGTTTATCCTATACTGGAAGCCGCCTAGCGTGGTCGAGTAGACCAGATAGGCGGGGTATAAATCAATCAATCAATCAATCAATCAATCAATCAATCAATCAATCAATCAATCAATCAATCAAATAAATAAATAAATAAATAAACAAACAAACAAACAAACAAACAACAACAACAACAACAACAACAACAACAACAACAACAATAACAATAATAATAATAATAATAATAGGGATTACCATAGCATACATGGTCTTCAGTGACATATCCTTGCACTTGAGAATTTTTTTTTGGCATTATTTTTGCTTACATGGGAAATGAATGCAATGGTCTTATAGTTACTGCACTCCTTGGCATCTTCTTTCTTGGGGTTTGGAATGCATACTGAACATTTCCAACCTATGGACTATTGTTTTGTTTTCCATACTTGTTGGCATATTCTTAAGATTTTGATAGATTTCCTCTCTCTACTTTGAATTAATTCTATCAGTGTCCTATACTGTATATTCCTGGTGATTTATTTTTTCCAAGAGCTTTAAAAGCTACCTTCACTTGACTTTCTAAAATCGCAGGTTCTTCATCATATGGCTCTTCAAAGAATCAGTTATCCTTGCAACTCTTCTGCATATTTCTTCCTTGTATTTGTTTTCTTGTTATTTTATTCTGGTTAGATAGTTATGAAAACCGTAACTGGATTATTTAAAGATTATAGGACACAGTATCTCCCCCCCCCATTATAATTGTAAACATTTTCTTTTTTCATTCCAGTTACAGGGAAACAAAAAAGGTCAGAAATTAAGTATATGCTGTTAATTTGAAGTTTAATGAAGACTTCTGAATAGCTATACGTATATAAAAATGTGCAAAATACAGTGATCCAGATGTTGTTGAATTTTAACTCCCGTAAGACCTGTCCTAAACAGTATTGGCAGCAGTCAGGAATGCCGTGAGTCAACAACATCTG